CAATCTAATCCAAATGACTCAATCAGAAACCCAATTTTTACCTAAAAATAAAACCTGAAATCAATCTGAAACCTAAATAAACCCGACCCAAATCAAATCCAGCTGAAAATTTTCAAACATGAAATCATCCCAACCCAAAAATGATACCATATGATGCGATCACAAGCTCATATTTGTCAAATATCAAAGTACTCATTGGCTTCATTGCCTCTGATACTCGTCTATGTAAGTCCGTACGGTGTTGATAGTATAGTTGTTTTAGGAAAAAAGCATCTTTACTCATCAGCGGCTCAATCTTAGTAAAGACCAAAAATCTAAACTCTTACCAAACTCGAAAATGACTAGTCAAACTCAAATTTTTAGACTAAGGCCCTATTTACTTTACCTTATTTTTGTTTAAATGAAATTATTTTTACTAATTGAAATTATTTTTGCTGAACTTCAACTATTTTACTGAACTGAAATTATCTTTAATGGACTAAAATTATTTTTGCTGAACTGAAATTATTTTTTCTCAACTGAAATTATTTTTACATATTTTCTACTATATTTGTTCTTTAAAATTATTGATTTTTACTGAATTGAAATTATTTAATTTTTTTTTTTGAACTGAACTTATTTTTACTAAATTGAAATTATTTTTTTGAATTGAAATGATTTTTACTGAGCTGAAATTATTTTTAGTTAATATTACTTTTTTAAGGTGATCCAACTCAAAAATTAACATGACCCAAAATTGACCCAATTGGAAATTGACATGAAATGAGATTTACCCGATCTAAAGTCAAACCTAACCCAAAGATAGCAAACACGAATTAAAGCCGAACCTGAAAATACGACAAACACGAATCAACCTAACTCGAAGAGACCTAAACTGTACCCGATCAAAAAACCTATTTTCCATGTGTATTCGTATGTTTATCAATTATAATGCGGAGTATTATACTCCCTCCGTCCCAGAATAATTGACACGTTTAACCTTTATCACTATTTATACATAAACTTTTATTGTAGTTTTGAACTAACGTCGTAGAAACAAATTTTATCATGATCAATTTGTTGAATAGGTTTTAACGTATGCTTTCATAGTATCAACTTTTTCATATATTTTCCTAATAGTTAATGATGTATGTATATATATAAGGCCAAACTACTACATTGGTTTGTGTGTCAAATTTGATTGTATCAATTATTTTGAGATGGAGAAAGTACTAAAAAACAAATGTGGTATTATATTTCTTTTGTATAAATTTACAGAAATAAAACTAATTAGGAAACCCTCCTCACAAGGGAAATTCCAATTCCTAATGCATCGATAGAATAGAAACATATGACTAGAACTATTACAAGGAACAATGTTAAGATTATCACTAGCTAAATGACTAACATTTGCAACTCAATATGTCATTCTCTTTGCCTCTCAATATATGTGTTGTATACTCCAGCTGTTAAAAAGTGAAAAAGATTACTCGAATATCTATGCATGATATGTGCTTGATCTACCATAGACTGGACAAGTACCCTTGAATCCTTGATTGCGTTAATCACTAGGAGGTTGTTGCCTTCACTTGACCTATGTAGAGCCATAAGGCCCATAACTTGTGCGATATATACTTTGGTGATGCCAAAGTTAAAAGTGCTAGCTTGGATGACAAAGTCGTCCACTACTAGAAAACAGGCGATTTTCGACGGAATTATTCCATCAAAAACACCTCGTTTTCCAATTCCGTCGGAAGCGGTTGTCGGAAAAGGTTTTGTAGGAAAAACGACCTTTTCCAACGGAATTTCCGTCGGAACCAGTTTTCCGATGGAATTTTAGTCGTCGGACAAGATTCTCCGGCCCGGAAAGTCCGTCAGAAATTTTCGACGGAAATTTCGTCGGAAAATCCTACCAAAAAAAATAAAAAAAATTGCACCTGCACCAGCCACTACCCAACACCCTACACCACCACCAACACTCACAACCTCCCTTACCCCACCACACACTACCACCGACACCACCTCACAACACCAGACGCCACTACACACCAACCCCAACCACCAACCCATCCACCACGAAAATCACCAGCCCCCACCCCACCACCACACACCACCACCCACACCACCTCACAACACCAAAAATTAACCCAAAAAAAACCGAAATTTAACCCCCAAAAAAAACAAAAATTAGCTCAACAAAATGAAAATTTAGCCAAAAAAACGACCACACAACAAAATCGAATCATACCACACAAAAATTCGAAAATTACCACAAAAAAAAATCAAAACCAATAGATCTATATGTTTAATCAAAATTTCATTAAAAAAAAAAAACAAACAATAATTAACCAAAAAAATTAAAGGAAATATATAAATATACAATTATCTAATAAAATTTATGAACTAACATTACAATTACATAAAATACTAACTAGATATACAATATAACCTATATTAAAAAAATATATACAAAACAAAAAACCTTGAGATGAATGGGTGGCTCGCGAACGGTGATTGTTGTTGCGACGGTGGTTGTTACGGCGATTTTGTTGTTGCGGTTGATGTTCGTGATGGTTTTTGAAGCGATGTTGTTGCGGTTGATGTTGGTGGTGGTTATTGTTGAAGAGGAGAGAAGAAAGATAGAGGAAGGAGAAGAGGATGAGAGAGAACGAGAAACAGAGAAAGATCGAGGAAGGAGAAGAAGAGGAGGAGAGGAGAAGAGAGAACGAGAAGAAGGAGAAGAGGAGGAAAGAGAAAGAGGAAGGTTAATAGGCGAAAAAGACTTAGGGTTTAGATAGTTTATAGGGTTTTTATTTTTTTCTTTTTTTTAAAATGTATAGAAAGTACATATATTCTGACGGATTTATTTTTCGTCGGAAATTTCCGACGGATTGTTTAAATTCGTATTTTTTTTAAATGTATAGAAAGTACATATATTCCGATGGATTTATTTTCCGTCGGAAATTTCCGACGGATTGTAATTCGTCGGAAGTATCCGACGGATTGTTTAAATTCGTCGGAAGTATCCGACGGAATATAAATCCGTCGAAAATTTTGATTTTCCGACGGAATTAGGTGTCTGTCGAAAATCGGTTTTTTTCTTGTAGTGGTCGCTATCTCTAATTATGACTCCTAGTTTCCTACGTGCTGCTTGTGATTGAGGTGTTAATAATGAGGATAGAACCATCACATTGAAGTTGAGTGTGAAGAAATTTGGTGGTGGGGGCTGCCATGCTATTCGTTAGACTTGGAGTTTAACTATGTGCATTGACTAAGGATGGTAGTGGGTCAGGGACCTTACTCAGACCAAGTCAGATGCTACCCTAAAATACCGGTATAGGTCTTACTTTTTTAGATGGTACAGATAGGGCATTGGTGTAGGTATAAATGTTTTAGACCCAGAATCTACCATGGACGACCCTTAAGACTCATACCTTACCCACACCCGTACATAGACCTGCATAATATATTAACTTAGAAAAAGTTTCAAAATTAAATAAAAAAATCTAAAGGATCATGATTTTTAGGGCGTTGATGAAAAAACCGAATATCATACAAAAGACGACTATATAAAATGGAACGTTATTAACTATATATTTGTGCATTTAATTTTACGAGACTTTAAAATGTAATGTGCAACAAGAGAGCATTGTTAATACTATTTGTACTTGGAGTGAGCCAGGTGGTTATATGTTGCTTTTGTGGGAAGCCTTGGCTGCTGGGTCCCCCCCCCCTTGATGGATGCTGATGAGAACCTTGATTTGGAAGGGCGTAATATCAAGCAGTGTCGTAGGAAGATTTGTGATGGCCATACACCGCCGCAGTTCGGGTTCTTTCTTCTTCTGGCGTTGTTTCTTATAATGAGGCCACTCTTGCAGATTTATAGTTAAAACACCCTTCTTCTCCAGCTCCATCCTTGCCTGATATACTTGTTGATCACCTTCATCTCGTTGCTACTTCTGCAATTGTTTTAGATCGGATTAAGAGTTTTCCACGTGGCACATCATGTGGTAGGGACGATTTACGAGCTCAACACCTTATGGATTGCTTGAGTGGAGCTGTTGTGGCTGTTTCAGATGAGTTAGTCAACTCTATTTCTGTAATACCCTGGAAATTTCCTTCCTTTAAAAATATTCTTTTGACTCTACATAAACCCTTTTAAGGAAATAACCAAAATATTACCGCCATCGTGATAACGGCTAAGGCTAGTTTTCAAAGTCACACAGCGGAAGTCTAAAACATAAAAACCAACTTTCAAAAATAAAACTTAAAACTTGAGTTCACAACCTCAAAATAAAAGTAGAATAAAACATCCACAAGTTGGAACCAATTCAAACATGGCCCTTCTTAAAAACCAAATAAAAACAAACATAATAATGTTAGTCCATAGACAATAACCAATAATTCAAAAACATTAAAACTAAGAAACATAACAAGTAACTCTCTGCACTCTATCCCATCATGCTCTTCATGCACCAAGTACCTGTTACTTTCTCTTTATTAAACTCTCTACTCGCCATAAAAATGGGTCATAATAGGGCCAATCCAGAGGAAAGTCAAACACAAACACAAAAGTACAAATCAGAAAAGCTGAGTACATATGCACCACACTAACATGAATATCCTAGCATCAAAATAAAATAATAATTAAAACATGCTCGCCACACGATCACAAGTCAACTTACCTTTGACTCATAGCTAGCAATATTAATTATTATTAATAATTTTGGATTACGCATCGAATGGGTTTCCTTCCTTGAAAATAGCCCATTTAAATATTGAGCTTCTAATCAGGGAGCTACCCCAATTGGCACCTACTATGTCACACTTGGTGATGGAATTCCAACGCATTAATAATAATAGAAAGTACAGCATCATGTACCCCTGTAGAAGCTATGGTTAAATATAAAACCCCATAACTCCCCCCATATGTTCATACTCAAGGTCAGTGGCGGACCCAGGAATTTCCGACTGGTGAGTCACAATCGATAATCAAATATGTAAAATAAAATTTCACAATGACATGTAAGGAGACATTTACTTCCTAAACTTGAAAATAAACAACACGATTGGAGACCAAATTAACTACAACGGATGTAGCCTAAATACATATCAGTCCGCAACATGTTTTACAGGATGATCAATAATTTTGAAGCAATGCCTCAAGGCGTAAAAGCAATCCTTTTTTGGCACTTCAATATGATTCAAGCATATGATCAGGAATAAACACGAATAACAATTGATTCACAATACAAGTATACAATATTCCCAGCATGAAATAGACTCAAGAATTACAGAAATTACCCAAATTAAAACCAAAATTACAGAGACTCACCCATATCCAGGCAAATTAACAATATACCAACTCTTGTTGATTAGAAAATGATTGATAAGCTGAGTCTTCCCTGCATATGAATTCAACAACCTAATCAAACACAAAGTTAACAAAACAAATGAAATCACAAGTATGAATCATATGCAAATAACCCCAACAGCGAATTACCCCTATTCATAATTGGTTGGACGGTTCATATTCAACTAAATCAAGCAATATTCAACTAAATCAAGCAATATTCCCCAGAAAAATTATTTACAAAGATCATCCAAATAGAAAATTCAATTTGCAAAAATAATGCAAATTCAATGAACATTCACCGTATATACTAATTTTAAGAGACAAGTAATGCAAATTTGATAAAAAATTCACAAAAAAAAAAAGAATCAATTGATGATTACCTACCTTGCTAGGCGGAGGCGGCAGGCGCTGAATGATTGAGGCGAGCAGCGAAGCAGGCAGAGCAGCACTGCAGCAGGGCCATGCCCAACACTCAGCAAGACAGCAAGTCAGCGACTAGGCACTGGAGCAGGCGACTAGGCGAGCAGCAGAGGACAGAGCACAGCTGCACAGAGCACTGGAGGCTGGAGCAGTCGACTAGGCGAGCAGCAGCCAGCAGGCCAGTAGCACAGCCAGCACTAGAGGCGTGAGAAAACTAGCGAAGAGCAGTAGATTATGAACAATTAGTCAATTAGGGATTGAGTTGATAACTAACATTTTACATTTCACAAATTCACAATTAGGGATTTAGGGTTCAAACATTTCACAAATTCACAATTCAGATAATGCAAAATTCTCTGAAATTGAGTTGATTATTGAACAATTAGGGATTTAGGGTTCAAATTTAGTATTACTAAATCATAATTCATAACTATCAACTAACAAGTAATATCAACAATTAAATAAATAAATAAATAAAAAGCTGAAAGATGAGTAGATGACTAACCTGAAATTATGCGAAGAGGAAGATGAAGCGAACTAGCGAAGAGGAACTGAGGTCTGACTACATTGCAGAACCCATTTATTTTCATCATCAAAGTTTTATGGAAGAGTAATTGAGTAGCATTCACTTATTCCTCTATACCACCTTATATAATACAAGTACTCCGTATTAGAGTAATATCTAAAAGGTACAAGCAATAGTCCATTGATAATTGATATTGAAGACAAACATAAAATCCTTGACATGAAGAAAACTTTTATATCAGGGATGAAGGAAATGTTAAAAGTTAGTAAGTGTCTGAGGAAGAGGCGAAGAGGAAGATGCGAACTTGAGGGACGGATTTTCAGACGTTAGTATTTTTTATTTTATTTTTTTTAAAAAAAAAACTTAAAAAATATTTTGGGCCCTGGTGAGTCACTTGACCCACCAGGCACAAGCCCAGGTCCGCCACTGCTCAAGGTATATACGTTCCAAGAGTTTTGGTACGTATCCTCTATACTTTACGTGATTTACCAATTTAACTTGTGAAGACTCAAACCAATCAATCAAGAACAAACATAATAACAATCAAGACATACTTCTAATTCATTCTTGAATTAATTTGTGAGCACATACTATTTAATTTAATTAAGGTTCCTTGCCTAATTTTGTGCACAAAATTGCACGATTACTACCTTGATGCATAAGATGCACTACTAAACTTCCTTGACTCAAACTCAACTTACTTGAGTGAGTAAATAAATAAACTAACTTCTTGACTCAACACCAATAATAAAAGGGTGAGAAATAAATTCATGAATCATGATCAATAATTTTAACTTTAGCTCTTTATCTCATATATAAGCCCTGCTTATTAAATACATGCTTTCTTGATACTTGAAAATAAAACATACTTCCATGATTCATATCTATTCAACTTGTATCATGCCTCAAATAATATATTCACATGCTTGCATAACAATTCATGCTCAACCAACATCAATTCCAAGCATATAATCAACCAAACATGCTACTAATTCATCATTTATATCATACTTTACAAATCCTAGCTTAGCATGATACTACGCATACACAAATATTCTTGTGCACATACGTACCTTTAATAATTCCTAAACTCGGCCACACTCGCTAGAAATCACCTAGCTCAAAGCTTCCTACAAATAAGAATACATAACTATATTAATTTACTATGCTCACAAATTTTCAGCAACTATAATACTCTTTAAACCTTACTAATTAACCCAATTTAATGACGTAAAAGCCGTAAAAGCTTTTTTTAAGTGGGTACTTCAAATACTTTTAAAAAGACTTAATTTTTATGACCTAAATAAAATTTCAGCATACTTATTTAATATAAAACATCACTAATAGACTAGAAAATCATATTTAAATCATTAAAACCTTTTTTCCCTTTTATGGGTAATCAAACCCTAACTCAATAATTAAAAAGTAGTGTGCATAGATAAATTTCAGCATTAGTCTGAGGGATTTAAACTCATTAAAAACATGTTTAGACCATTAATTAAACAACAACAACCTAGGATCAAACCCTAACCATAAAACATAAATTCCCAAATCCTAGGGTTTGTAAATTGGGGTTTTTGATTGAATAAAAATCTGCAAATTATATAAATATAACAACATCAAATACCCAAAATCAATACCAAAACATAATCAAAACTAGAGGTGTCCACCGTGCGAGTCGTGCGAGCTGGGTTAGGGTTAGGTGGGTCGCGGGTTGGGGTTTCATGACACACGGCACGACACACGTAGGGTAGGGTGGGCCGGGTCGTGGGTTGGGTCGGAGAAGTTGGACACACCAGGGTTAGGTTCGTGGGTTAGACGAGTCGTGGGTGGGTCGAGCTGGGTTTGTGGGTTAGACGGATCGTGGGTGGGTCGAGCTGGGTTTGTGGGTTAGACGGGTCATGGGTGGGTCGAGCTAGGTTCGTGGGTTAGACGGGTCAAGGTGGGTTAGTGAGTTAGGGTGGGTCGAAGGGTGGGTTAGTGGGTTAGGGTCGGGTGGGTTTGTGGGTTAGGTGGGTTAGGGTCGGGTGGGTTAGTGGGTTAGGGTCGGGTGGGTTTGTGGGTTAGGTGGGTTAGGGTCGGGTGGGTTTGTGGGTTAGGGTCGGGTGGGTTCGTGGGTTAGGGTCGGGTGGGTTGTGTGGTGTTTTAATTTTTACAAAATTAACAATTTGATGGCTTGCTCTTAATTAAGATGCCTACGTATCCTTATATTATAAAATAAGGAATCAAAGCCAGCGTAGTTCTTATATTGTACTTCTTTTGAAATTTGGGGGGGGGCTTGGACCTATCTTTAGAAAACTAAAATTTAATTTTGCAATTAAATTGTAATTTTCGAAAAATAAGTTGCCTACGTATCCCGAAAGAATCAAAGCCCACGTAGTTCTTAGCGTACCTGATTTAGACTTTTCTAGCCACCCATGTTTGTTGCATCATCATCCCCGGAAGCTGCATCATCCGTTGACGACTCCAATATCATCACAGGATCATCTTCATCGTCTTCGTCTTCCTTTAAACCTTGAGTTCTTCTTTCAGCTTGATCCCAATCTTTCTTACAAACACAAATTTGAATGCTTTCCGGAGTTAAGCGAGATCTTTTTTCATCTAACACTCTTCTACCTGCACTAAAAGCAGACTCGGAAGCAACAGATGAAGCGGGAACTGCAAGTATATCTTTTGCAATTCTCGCCAATATAGGAAAACTTTTTTTATGTTCTTGCCACCATTTTATAATTTGAAAGTTGTTGTTGGTCTCATGTTGATATGACAAATAATCATTAATAGCAAGTGTTGAAGAAGATGATGATGAGAATGATGTAGATGCTTTGTGTTTTTTTTTCATAACTTTATCAAGAAAACCAAATCTAGAATCGGAAGTGCTAGTAGTAGTTGGTGTTGCCAAATCAAAACCATAAATAGATGCATAATGATCATAAAGGTCTCCCAAAACAGATTTGCATTTGTTAATATATTCACTAACATCATAATCGATACTTAAACTTGTATAATAAAATTCTAAAAGATTTTCCAAACCTTCAGCTTTGACACCGGGGTCAAGAATAGCAGCAATTCCATAAATGATTGGAAATTCACTAAAATAAGTATGCCACTTACGTTTCATGCTATCAAGAACGGGACGAAGTCCATCAATCTTCATATGCTCTTCGATGGTGTGAACAACTTTAACACACTCAATTATGACTAAATGAACGTTAGGCTCATAAATATAAGAGAAAATATGAGTTGCACTATCAAAAGCATTTAAAACATCACGAACAAAAGAAGCATTAGTCCAATGACTTTCGGTTATTAACTCAGTAGGATCAACACGAGTCTCATTGTAAAGTTGGGTCAAAATATCACGATACTTTATAGCATCACTCAACAACTTGAAAGTAGAATTCCAACGGGTAGGGGTATCAATAGACCATTGTCTTTTCTTAAGACCTCTCTCTTTACACATAGCTATGTACTTTCTTCTAACTGACTGAGTAATCCTAATCCATTTTATAACTGTTCTAATTGGGTTTAGCAATGGTTGCAACTCAGCGAGACCCTCTTGAACAGACAAATTCAAAATATGAGCACAACATCTAACATGCAAGAGACTACCACCCAACAACAAATTCAACTCGGAGTCATTTTTCAAATAGTCAATACACTTTGTGTTTGCAGTTGCATTATCAAGAGACAAAGAAAAAACTTTATTATTCAAGTGAAATTCTTTTAAACAATCCAAAATACGAACTTTGATGTTAAAACCGGTATGCCTTTCTTCCATAGCTTGAAAACATAGTATACGTTTTTGAATAAACCAATCATCATCCACCCAATGAGCAGTAATGCAAAGAAAAGGTTCGCCAAAACTAGAAGTCCATGTATCACTTGTAAAACTAACACGACCATCAAAAGTACGAAATAATTCAATCAAACCACTCCTATACTTATAATAAGAAGTTTGTGTATAACGTCTTAGGGTATTTCGGGGGACACGAGTAAATGCAGGTTGTAATGCAACTTTATTAAAATGCTCAACGTTTGCATTTTCACCGTAACTAAAAGGGTATTCATTAGCAATAACTAAAGTACTCATTTCATCAATCATTCTATCTTTATTATAAATGAAAGGTGTACCTCCGCCGGGTTGGTTCATGTATCCACCCAATTGTGTTTGGACGCCACCCCCCGAAGGACGAGGGCCATTTTCGAACAAGTCGTGTTTATTTTGCAAATGCCGACTCAAGGTTCCGGTTCCATCTCCCGTTTTCCAATTATATGACTTGACATTTGCACCTAGCGCCTTGCAAACTAGGCATGTACACGTGAACCTCTTTGGTTGACCAGGTTGCCATCCCGGGGGTGTGACCTCAACTCGTTCAAAATGTTTCCACACCCAAGAAAAATGTGCTCGACCTCTACTTTCACCGCCACCACCTTTCATAAATCAAATTATTAAAATTAATTTTTAAATGCTATTCATGAAAATAAGCTTTTAAATTTTAAATATTTTAATTATACTTATTTAAACGCATTTTTCATGGTAATTAACTAATTGTAAATCATAGAAAATTGGAAACTAAACTAACTTTATAATCATTAATAATAGTTTTTTTAAAATATTCATAACAATAAAAATTTAATTAGAAATTACCTTGAGATGAAGGTTGAG